GAATTAGGAACAAATAACACTGGTCTAACAAAAAAAAAAAACTCTTGCACTCTTGATTTTTTATCATTTTTAACATTCAGGTAGTACATGTGAAACTTATTATAAAGTTCAGTGAAATCTGTCCTGTTTTTTTTTTTTGAAATATTGCTTGGAAAATCACACCAGCATATATAGAATATGACAAATGTCAGAGAAAAATGTATTCAACACAAATTATAAAATAATTGAACAAAAATAAATATTAAAAACACAGATATGAAACATATGTAGAAGTTGGCGCCTCTTTATAGAGGAATAAAAACATCTGTCATTGTGCCTCATCATACCAATTGTAAATCTGTCATTGTGCCAGGGAAACCGTTATGTTTTATAAAAGAATAATTTCAGGACTAGTGAAGACTTCATTTGTTTACTTTGCTTGTGATTTTTTGTTATTTTGATTTTTAAATTTAAACAATTTCTTCCTTTGTCCAATGCTATGAAATATTCCAGAGGTACCAAAAGGATCTTTATCAAAATTATCATTAGTTTGCCAAATGTTCCAGAGGTACCAAAAGGATCTTTATCAAAATTATCATTAGTTTGCCATGTATGATTGAAATTAAAATCTAGCTGACTTTGGACTCAAGCATACTATAAAAGCAATTATATTTGGCATATCCAGACTTTAATCCAATGATGATATTTAACACATTCACATAACGCATAATGAGCAGCCATGGGAATAATACAAAGGTGGAAAAAGTAATAAAAAAAATTGTACTCAAGTAAAAGTACTGTTACTTGAGTGAAATTTTACTCAAATGCAAGTAAAAGTTACCAGTCAAAAAGTTTACTCAAGTAAAAGTAAAAAGTAGCTAATTAAAAATGTACTTAGAGTAAAAGTTACTTCCTTACTTTTTCAGATAACAAAGCTGTTGAATAAAAAAACAAGAATCACGTATTCTATTCTTTTCTGTAGAAAATTTTTTTTCACACAGAAAATTTTTTTTATGGTTGTAAAAAGTGAAAAGAAACCAAGCTAAAGTGGTTAAAAGTTGTTATAAGCGTGATCAAAGTGTCATTTTTATTAAAGTAAGCAAAACTCAAAATAACAAAAAAATTAAATCATAGAATTTGTGAAATAAACAATACATAATATATTTTTTACTCAGTAATGCATATGACTTCAAATTTTCATTTTTTGTTAAGTCTGGGTTTTTTTAAGCATGGGAAGTTGTTTATTAGGCAATGTTTGACAAATAAAAGATAACACAATTTGCTTTTCAATATCCAACATCAAAACAATTAGTTTCAAAATACTTCTTTAGGCATTTTCTGGAGTAGCAGGACAGACTTAATAATTTTTTTTTATTAGGTTTCAAACCATAATATTTTCAGACCATTCACAGCTTATTAGGACTAATTATATGAGCACATTATTAATATGAGTATCTATCATGAACACTTCCCCACAACAGCGTTTATGTTTCAAAAAAGCCCACACGTCCATTTTTTTATATAAATATGTGTGTATATATATATATATATATATATATATATATATATATATATATATATATATATATATATATATATATATATATATATATATATATATATATATATATATATATATATATATATATGTATATATATATATATATATAATAAAGTATTTGTATAGTTCATAAAATTAAAAAGATACTCACAGTTAATTTTTTGGTTAATTATTACATTATTTGTTAGTACATTATTATATAGCAATATATAATATATAGTTTATCTTATATAATTTAATATGACATAATATAAATAGATTTTAAGATATTGTATTATATAACAATGTTTATATTTGTGTATTACACAATATATAAAAATTTATATTTGTTTGATACATAATCATATATACAATATAACTAAACTTAATATAAATATATTGTATAAGTATGCTTCTTAATCTTGCTAAAAGTTAAATAAACAACATTAAGTGTTACAAATTTGCAGTAACACACTTTGATGCTTGTTATAAATGCTGTTGTATATGCAATTGAAAAGCAGACAGAATACTTTCAGTAACAGCTTAGATATTCATAAAAACATTGGTTTTACCAAACTACAACATTGATAATCCATCCTTTGCGAGTGGAATATCCAAAACCGGCAACAGAGTATTATTACTACATGGAAAACCCTACATAGAAACTACTCTTTCTTACCTTCATATACATCTACTTGTTGCATCAGGAGTAGTTCTCTCTGTCCAAACAGATGTAAAAATTTCTGCAATTGTACTATCTGCAAAAAAGTAAAATCAACAAAACCTGGATTAAAAAAAACTAAACCTGAAAGTAGACCAAGATTTCTGGAAAAATCATCCAAAAAATGTCATATTGTGGACATTTTTTGTATGGTTTTTCCAGACAACTATATGCAATCAGTGCTTTCAATCCATTGATTAATTACAAGGTCATAATTGTACAAAGGTTTTTGGTTCAACAAACCTTCCTCAGAAGATTGAAAACTCCTTGAGTCAAGAAGCATATGAAAAATTAGCTGCAGATCAAATTAGAGAAAAGTTTGAAGTATCAGAAATTGTATCCCTTAAATCAAGAGGGCAATCTTTTAAATTTTCAAAAAGATCAATAAAGCTTACTGCAGAGTCACAAAGACTTGATGACCATTAAGGATGTTAGAAAGTTATCCGGGTTTTGATATGGATGGAAAATCAAAAGCAAGTTGGGTTAGGCATAGAAAAAAATCAATACCGGGTTTAAAGAATTCATTGTATATAACAATTGGTCTTTAGTGGATTACTTCTCAGCCATAGACCTTAATTTCTATAAATAAGAAACTTTGTGTAGAGTTGAAATTACCGAACTTGATTTTAGGACTTATAGTTATAGTTCAAAGTATCCAGGAAATAAACGAATCTTTGGATCAATTAAAAAGCAAATTCTTGCTTAGAAACAAAGATCTAGCTCTGACTCATAACTGAAAGAATTTATAATTGCAAGAATCAATCACTTCTGCCAGGAGTTGATGAAACTGAAGTTATGGAAGTATACATTAATCCTGAGCTTCATTTTTATACAGGAACAATTAATCTATAAAGATTAATTGTGGAATAACCTATCAATAAAATGGTGACAAGGTGACTTTTCCTTGAAAGAAACTCCCTTGTTAGACAAAAACTTCAGGTGGAGAATTTAAAGAAAACCAGTGTAAAAAACTGTTGAGATTAAAAGTGGTAAATGACTTTCTTGAGATTTTTATTACTTTTGAGATCAAAGCAAAGAGTGCCAAACTGCATATATTATGTTGTCATGTAAAGGAGTTTTGTAAAATTAATTTTTTTTTTTTAATTGTTATTTAGGTGCTCCGAGAAGACCTAATGGTCTTGTCACAGAGCACCGCAGAAGTGCATTTAACCAGGAACTTCACGCCACCTTCCTTACCGTGACAAGAAAATATGTCTAAGGCTCATTTCGAACCTGGATCTCCTGCTTATAAAGCAAGCACTCTAACCACTGCGCCACGGCTGCAAATTAATGAATATGGACTGCCAATTTACAACAAACAGACAAAAGAAACCTTTTGCTCAAGATTCAGTGAGTTTTCCAGACACAACTTCCTAGTTATTTCTACAAAGATATATAAAAAAACAGTCTATTATGTGTTGTACTTTCACACAACGCAGAGAGAATTTGATGCTTTATTATGTTCATTCTATATCAGCTAAAAATATTTTAAATAAAATATTTATTTATTTATTTTGACATTATTATTTGATTTCCTCGTGTGAAGTCAAAATGTTATTTTAAATAAAGGTATTTATTAAAAAGTTTAATAAATACCATTGTTTAAAATAACATTCGAGTTTAACTTATTAGCTACGAGTCTATGCCTTGAATAAGTTACTTTACAAACTTCATTTTATACCAGTTGTTTTTCTATATTTGTTAATAAAAGTAAAACACACTTTTTTTATATCACAATAAATAACCTTTTTTATCACAATAAATACTTTTTTTTTCAGGACACACTTTTCAAATTTTGTGAAATATTTTTTTGTGTACACTGTAATCATACCTTGCTATTGAAACATAAACATTGTTGTGGGAAGTGTGCTTAACATCTGTTTTAAAAATAATATAGTAAGGTTTATTAATGATTGTTATCTAAATCTAAGTATATGAATTTAAAAGTAAATATTACTTTGTTTCAAATGTTTAGAGTGTTAAATGTTTTATACTTATATTTTTTCTTTAACTTTGATTTTGCTGCTTATTTTATTTAATGCTTTTTGTTATATCAATTTTTGTTATTTTTGATTGGTAATATATAAAACCCTTTTACTAAGTATTTTATTGTTTACTTTGTTTTATGCTATTCTTTTGTTTTTATTTTAAATAAAAAATGTAAGCACTGTTTTTTATTTTACCATTATTTTTTTTGAACACAGAGGAAATTTGGTCTACTGAAGGTTGTACTATAACTAATAGCTCCTTATTAGATGTTGTATGTGAATGCAATCATCTAACAAATTTTGCCTTGTTATTGAATGTTGCTCAATCAGTAAAAATAACAAATAATGTGTTCCTTGAAGTTGTTACATGGATTGGCTGTGGGTTATCAATTGCTGGATTATTTCTGACTATTGTCATTTATTCTGCTTTTTCGTAAGTTTAATAATAGTCCTTGTTAAAATCTATTTTGTATTTTCCATGTTTTGTTATGAAAATAAACCCATATTATTTAACTAAACAAAGCTTTAACATAAATTTCATAGTTAAATATAATTATAATATTATCTTAATTTCAATGCAATTTTTTTAACCCTTTAACATTCACATGTTGTTTTTAAAATATGATCGCTATTCATCCAGCTTTTTTTTTTGAAGTGGTCTCTAAATGTCCCGTATTTTAAAATCATTGTAATTTTTTACTGATAAAAAAAAAAAATTTACTATTTTTAACATATTAAACACTATAAAATTTTATTATTCATGTTTAAGAATATATAAATCATACTAGTTAAACACAAAATTTTAAAAATGTATTCACTTTTTGAATAATAATTGGAAAAGCATGGAGCTGTACAAATTCCTACATGACATTCTACACATTTATATCTTTTCGAACATTGTGTTTGTAACATACCACACACTATCTTTGAGCATTTAATTATCTTTTCTTATCATTTAATTATCATTAATTATCATTTTTAATTTTAAATATATCTTTTCCTTATTTTTTCCAATATAATTTTAAATATATCTTTTCCTTATTGATTCATCAAATGCATAATCTTTTTGTGAATAAATATTTACTTTTTGATAACTATTTTTGCACTGAAAGAACTTCTTTATTTGTCATTTTTAAAATTAAAGTGAACACATGTAAAAGTGAATTGTTGAAACAAAAGCTCTGTAATTATGTAGTAATAAAATTTGTGAGAAGTAGACAAATAATTACTGATAAACAAGAAGGAAATATAAGAAGATGCATAAAACCGTAATGATACGGCATGGACATTTTAGTACTACTTTTAGTTTGCGTAATATTATGGCATGGACATTTAGAAACCATTTTAAGTTGCGTATTATTACGACATGGACTATTAACAGGTAAATGCATCATTATTAGTCATCAAAAGTTTTGTTTTCAACAATATCTATAATAAAAACGAAGCAGATCTGCTTCATAGTTTACTTACCATAAAAATTGTCATATAACATATATTGAGAAAAAGACTGCTATGCACAGTAACATATATTGAGAAAAGTAACACAGTAACATATATTGAGAAAAGAAACACAATAGCATATATTGAGAAAAGTAACACAGTAACATATTGAGAAAAGTAACACAGTAACATATATTGAGAAAAGTAACACAGTAACATATATTGAAAAAAGTAACACAGTAAAATATATTGAGAAAAGGACTGCTATACATTACTTAAAAATTTTACAATACTCGTTAGCAGGAAATACTGTTAAAACAGTTTTTTACCCAGTCAAATTTTATTTACAATTTTGTATCTATGCAAAATTATTATGTAAATAAAATGTGACTGTGTACAAAATTGTTTCAGTTGGTTTATTGGTCAGCAGTTAAAATATTTTTTTGGGTTTTTATGTCTTACATTATCAAACTAATTTAAAAGTTAAACAGTAATAATTCTCATTACAATTTTTAAAAAGGACTTATATTTAAAAACAAAAAGAATAGTTATTAAATTTTTAAAAACAAAAAGAGTATTATTATTGTTTCAAAAACTTTTATTTTTTTTTGGTTTTCATTGCCATTCAACTTAAAAAAATAACATTCATTACAAATAAAAAGAAATATAAAAGCATAAAGTTAGAATAATTTTTTCACCATATTTTAAATTTTTGTTACATGAAAGTTATAATTATGATGTAATATAATTTTGTGAGTAACATTGTTTTCATAACTTATTTTTAATATGTTTTACACAATTAAGGGCTTGATACTTTCTCAATATGGTTCTTCAAATCTAAAATATTCTACTTTCATCTCTCTAAATTACTCAGCTACTGGTTGCGTGTTATTCAGTAAAACAAACCTCATATCCTGCTTCCTAGTAGAAATCGTTTTTTTTTTTTTTTTGTCAAAGGCTAAAAAAACGAACTCTGACTTAAAATAGCTCGACTCAAAGCATTTACTTAATTAATGGTTAGATATGGTGCCTCAATAAAATTATTGAATGCAGGCATTAACTGCATTAAACTAGTATCTTGTATGACTTATGGGATAATCAGAAGATTTTTATTAACCAGTCTTGCACCCTTTGATCACAGATTTAGCTGTTGTTGCTGTTAACCTGTGTCAATTGTTTCATTTCTAGGATGATAAACATTAGGTCTTCTGGTTTTTTTTTTTTTTTTTTTTGGATTTGAGTGTTGATTGCTTTAATTTACATAGCCTTCAATAGTCACATGTTTGACCTAGGCATTTACTTATGTATCAGTTCACCTATTTTTTTTTAAACCCAATGTAAAAAAATTTGGTTTAACTCCTGTCTATTTTTATAGATAGATTTTTTAGCATCGCTTTAGTCAATCACTTATCGATTTTTTTTTATTTTATTGTTCTTCTTCTTTCCAAGACTGAACTTTTTGTTGTTATTTTTGATATAATTAATCGATCTTATTGAATTGAATTAATCATAATAGTTGAATTATTTTTATGTAAATTGTAAAGTAATAAAGAAAAAAAAATAAGTAATAAAAAATAAAACAACCAGACCGGACAATGTCCACCCATTGATATTAAAACAATGTGCTAAAACACTATCTTTACCTCTATTATATATATTCAATAAATTACTATCAGAAAGATCGATTCCTCATGCATGGCGTAAATGTTACTCTACTATTTAAAAAAGGTCATACCAATGAACCAATTTATTATGGACCAGTTTCTCTTACATCTGTTCCATGTAAATTAATGGAAAGCTTAGTAACCAATGACATTTTAAATCATCTCTCAAAACTAAATTTATTGTCTCAATCTCAATATGGTTTTGTAAAGAATAAAGTATGTGTTACAAACTTATTAGAATCCAATGATTATGTTACAAAATGCAGTAGATGTGGTATATCTGGACTTTTCAAAAGCTTTTGACACAATCTCTTACAAATTGTTAATCATCAAGCTTAAAGCTTATGGAATAGTTGGAGATCTTCTTGATTGGATTAAAGACTTTCTCACTAATAGAAAACAGAGAGTAATACTTGGAGAACACATATCTGATTGGGTTCGCGTTACTAGCGATATCCCACAAGGCTCAGTTTTAGGCCCAATACTTTTTATAATTTACATCAATGACTTGCCAGACAATTTAAAATGTGTCAGTATTATATGCAGATGATTTGAAATTAATGAATGAGCTACAAATAAAAACCATTCTTAATGATACCACTGACATTCAAACTGATTTAGATAAAATCACTGAATGGACAAGAGTTTGGTTGAAAGCTGAACCTAGAAAAATGTAAAGTTATGCGTATGGTAAGAAACAACCCACGCTTAAACTATTCACTTCAAGATACAACCAACTATTTTTATTACGATTTAAAAAAATCAGAAGTAGAAAAAGATCTTGGTATATTTGTTTCAAGTAATGCTAAATAATTTTATCAAAAAAAACATTTATATCAAGGGATTTAATGTTATGGACCAAGTTAGACAAAGCGTATTTCAAGCCTAACCTGGAATATGCAATCAGTGCTTGGTCACCTTATTTAATGAAAGATATAAAGATTATTAAAAAGATTCAAAGGTGATCAACCAAAGTCCCAACTATATGCAAACATCTTGTTTACACAGATAGATGTATCTTATTTCAAATTCAAAAACTGGAAGATTGTAGAATAAGAGGTCACTTAATTCAAAAGTTTAAAATTGAAAAAGGTCTAACCATCATTAACTGGTACAATAAACCTATTATACGTCCAGTTCGATGTGGTCAACAAGAACAGTTAGTACGCAAATTTAACAGAAATTGCAAACCATAATATTATTTTTTTAGTAATCGTGTTGCTAAGCATTGGAATGCACTCAATGATGCAACAGTTAACTGTTCTTTGACTAATGAATTTAAACGAATGCTTGACAGTTCAAATGATAGTTGCCTATAGTCATGATATGACTTTAATTTGCAACTCATATACTATTACTATTGCTATATTATTGCTATAGAGAGCTTTTTCAAAAATAATATTCATTAATGTACTCTATAAGCAGTTCAACAAGTCATATAATATAGTATTACATAGCTAATCAATTGCAATGTTAATCTTGTTTCCATTGGGCAAAAAAATAGTATATGGAAATTCGAATTTTAAAAAACTGTGAAGAATGCACTGATCTTTTAAACTGTTACCCAATCAATCTTTTCACTATTAACAATGTCCATTAATTTTTTTTAAACAAACATTAAATGTCTCTGCATGAGTTAACACGTAACTCTCTGACAGTCAATAAATATTTCAATGTTCTACTGTTAAAATGTTAAACATTTTAACAAAAGTTTTCTGTTGTGCTTTAAAGAGAAGAAATGAGGCGAAGGTGAAGTCTTAAAGTATCAAAAGCTTTCATTAACGTTCTTTGTGCCTGTGTTTCAGTTTATATGGTGTATCTAAAAAATTTAGTTGTTCGATTTTACTTCTTTGCAAATTTTATAAAATGAATCTTGAAAAATGATAAAACTGTTAGTTTAATTTTATAAAATTTCATTCATTGTTCTTTTTGCATGTATTAAATACCAAGAGAATGTTAAATGAAATTTAATTTTCTCCCAGTTTTAAATTTATTCTATATATTTGATACCAAGTTAATAAATAAACTGTAATACAATTACTATGTTATCTTTTTTAAGAAAAGTGCGAAAGAAGCTTGCTCCAAAAATTCTCTTAAGTTTATGTGTTAGTTTGATATGTACACTAATTATATTTCTTGCATCAGAAACTCCCAGCAAACCTAGTCTTTCATGTAAAGTAGTTGCTTCATTGTTGCAGTTTTTTGTTTTGTCAACTTTCTTCTGGATGGCAATTGAAGGATTAAATTTGTACCGCATGTTTGTAAAAGTTTTTCCTGGTTCATCAAGCCCACACATATTTTTCTTAAATGCATCTGCCTTTGCTTGGGGTAAGTGTATTTCTTATATATATATATATATATATATATATATATATATATATATATATATATATATATATATATATATATATTATATATATATATATATATATATATATATATATATATATATATATAAGATATAGATATATATATATAGATATAGATATAGATATATATATATATATATATATATATATATATATATATATATATATATATATATAGATATATATATATATATATATATATATATATATATATATATATATATATATATATATATATATAGATATATATATTCCTATGTATATATATATATTCATAAATTTATATATATATATATATA